ATAAATTGTGCCTTTGTGAGTATAGAAGTTTATTTATGATTTCTGTTTAGGGAATGCGACTTTAAATCACAAGAATGGACTGGGATAGTGGTATTTCTGATCTTGCAACGCAGCCTTGTGATTTCATTTTGCAAAGGTCATCTTTGCACCATGGCGCCGGATATGCTTAAGATGTCCCTGTGGACCATTGGCCAGATCCAGCAGGCTTAATCTTACATCCTTAAGATTTAACTGTGCACCAATTTAAGATACAACTCCAGATTTTAATTATGTTTACAGACTGGAGGTGTGCACTGTAGATCAGTGTCTAAATCTGCTGGCTCCTGTCTCTTCTAACTGGCTGTTGCAACTTTGCTGATATGCACTACGTTTGAAAGTTGTGAATATTTTAGTGTTCTGAAAAATGATATATTGGGAGGCTACAGAAATGTGTGCGTTCATGTCATCTAAAAGTGAAAATGTGCCTTCTGGGATGCAGGAAATACATATTTAAAAGATGAAATCTGGAGGATTGCTTGGCAGAATGCGCCATCGCCTTGTCACACCACACGGAAGCAGGTGGCTCATTTGATTTCATTATTATCGTAGCATAAGCTGCTTATGCACATAAAGGAAAATGAGTGTACCTATTTGCTTCTGTTAAGTATTGATTTTATTGTTCTGTTCTCTGTAATTAATTGCCATAAAAATAGCACAATTGTTTTGCCCTGTTAGAGACCTTCAAGGCATCTGTAAGATTTTTGTACACATGTGACCATGATGTTCTAGGAACATCTGTACACCAGACTCAAACTTTATCGGGTTGCAATCCTGTACTGCCTTAAAATGGATTCAATGGAATATTTGCCAGAACATATGCCACATGTGCATATATATGCATATACCGAATTTTTCCATCTATAAGATGCCCCCTGTTTTTGGAGACTCTGATTTAAGAAAATGGGGGGAGATCTATCCGTGCATAAGATGCCCCCAAATTTTGGACTTTATTTTTTAGGGGGGAAACCTAGTCTTATACATGGAAAAATACGGTATTCTGGACATGTCCCAAAATTAGAAAATTTACTTACTTCTGAGTCAACTTGTTCTCGGAATTTTTTTGGGGAAAGCATGACAGTTTAAAGCAGTATCACGATACTTTAAATGTATGGTGTGAATATTGCCTTGAACTCCTAAAGAGGGGTTTCTCTGGGGTCCAATTTTGTCTGTATCTCAGAAGGAAAGTGGTTACTTTCCTTCTGAGCCACTGCGTTGCTGCCAGGGGAGACACATGGCTCAGGTGTGCTGCAGGCCCTGCGATAAGTGCCGCCCCCTGGGTGAGTGGCGCCCAGTGCGTCCCCCCGCCCCTCCCTAGTTACGCTGCTGATCTGAGCCTAGATGTAGAGTGCAGAGCATTCACATTTACTCTGCAACAAGGATTGGGAACCTGTGGCCCTCCAAGGTTTGTTGAAATTCAAGCCCCATCAGTCCCAGCCGGCATATCCAGCAGCCAAGGATTCTGGAAGTTGCAATCCAACATCTGGAAGGTTACCGGTTTCCCATGTAGGACTATTAATGGGAATAATATTGAGTCCCGTCGTTAACAGGCAGTTTCCGGAGGGGTAACCATGTTTGCATGTTGCAGCAAAGACTAACAAATTTATGATGGCATAAGCTTTGTTGAACTATGAAAGCTTATGCTGTAATAAATTTGTGGGTTTTGAAGGTGCTGCAAGACTCGATGCAGTTGATGGGCAGCAGCCTTAGTGCCTTTGTTGATCCCTATTGGATCTCTTAAGTCAGATCTAGCGAGCACAAGCGTACCGTAACACATCTATCATGCTGTTCATTTTCCAGCATTCTGCAGAAGTCTTCATGGGCAATTTCAACTGTCTGTTCGTGGAAAACACCACCAGATGTTTGGATGTTGCATTTTACAGCTGTTTTATAACACACACAAAAAAGTTTTGATATTTGTCCATTCCCTCTCTTGATGAGAAAAGAGAAAACCCTGATGTTCAGGAGGGAGATGTTTTTGAAACCAAAGGATTAAGAATCGTTCTTTGTGTACACCTTGCACATCTTGTGTGGTTTGAACCACAAGGAATGAAGCCAGTGGAATGTATTATGATCACCACACTTACCAAACATTACAATACATGGAGGGAGGGAATGCTTGCAAAAAAGAGGGAGAGCAATATATGTTATTCCCATACATTATTGTATAAATTGGTATAGTGTTATTGTCCTAGTGCTTATGCAATTATGGCAGTCACTGCTGTTTGTCCTCCTTGTCTTCACCATTGACAGGGGAGCAGACTGCTTCTCTCTCTGTGCCCATTGAGGGGCAACTACTGCTCCTGCTCCTTGTTATTGCTGTGCCCAACCCCAGGGAGAAAGGGGCCCATAGCAGCAGCACTGAGCCGCCTTCTCTGCTGACCGAGCCTTCTGTGCCTGTTGGAGCATGTGTGTGAGGCTAAACAAAATGGCGGCCTCCAACTGTAATTTCATTATCTACTAGCAGAAATTCAAGCCTGTAACACCCTTGCACTGCTTCCTATGAACTCATTGACAAAGTTGTGTATATCGAGCAACAACATACAGGCTATTAGTAGATTATATAAACCACAAGTAATATTTAATAGTTCTTTCAAAATCCAGTTTTCTGCAAAACCTTTACTGAACCAACATGAGCCTTGGCGTCCCTGTGGCTTTCTGCCGCAGACCTGGCTCTTCAAGCCCTGTTATTTCCCTTTGGTACTGACCCCATTGAAAATTACATTCTAAGACCTCATAGCAGGCAGGAACTGTGTCACTTCTGCGTACGCTGTGCAGAATAAAATGCTAAATAGTACTGATAGTTCCAGCAGCGGATCAAAGAAAACAAAGCGGAGGCTTCTCGTTAGAACAGGTTGTTCCAGTGCAAACCAGCAATTTGCAAAATTGTGGTGTTTTCCCTTTTAATCTTCAGGAAGTTTAGTATTCTGTCTGATGCAAAAGGTGAGCTGGATAGCGACAGGAAACCGTATGGGGGTCAGTAAATAAAGTGATCATGCCACTGATACGAATGAACGGATTTATTACGGTCACAGACCTTAGATACAGAAAATATTGCTGGCCCTGAATAAACAAGTACCATTCGTTGAGAAAAGCCACGCGATAAGATTGCAGTCGGATAGTAGCTAGGAAAATTGCAAGTGAATAGTTCATGGACTGCAGTACACTTTTTATTAAATGTCACAAGGCAATTGCTAAATGTAGATGCCATGAAACTCTTTTCTCCTGATCATGTTACAATTCTTGGAAAAATTTCCTAGAGAGTAATTGGGGAGGATTTACTTCTAAGAAAGCATGTAAGACTGCAGGTCTTGAAAACAGTCCAGGATTATTTTACATGATAGGACTGCTGCATGAAGGGGAGGTATGCAAACATGGCAGGTGTTTCGCCAAGTGAGCAATTCATGTGATTCACTATATGGGTCACTGGGCACCTTTCCTTTTGGATAGGAAGGGTAAGGACCACGGTTCAGGGGCAGAGTATCTGCCTTGCTTGCAGAAGTTCCCAGGTTCAATTCCTGGAGAGCCACAGTCTGTTAGTGTAGGCCAGTGTTTCCCAAACTTGGGTCTCCAGCTGTTTTTGGACTACAACTCCCATCCTCCCTAGCTAGGAGGACCAGTGGTCAGGGATGATGGGAACTGTGGTCCAAAAAAGAGTTGGCGACCCAATTTTGGGAAACACTAGAATACCTCAGTAGATAGACCAATGGTCTTACTCAGTATCGTAGTTTATTAGGATCCTATATTTACTGTGGGGAGCTGGAAAGTGTTGAACCCAAGAGGAAAATTGCTGCATACCAAAGAAATTTATTTGAAGGGTGTGATATTCCCGTAACAAAAGCATGCACAATCATTTGATGTCTTTGTTTTTATTTTCATTATGTATTCCATGTATATTGTAATTTTATGTTGTGAACCACTCTGAGATCTACCGGTATAGCTAGGGTGGTATACAAATTTAATAAATAAATGAAAAAAATCGTCTATAAATTTGTCCCCGCTTGTAATCTCCCTTTGGACGGTTGCCAAATGACATGGAACTGTTATTACCGATGGCGATTAGGAAGGCTTTTGCTGGATTTTTACCAGAATTTACCCCGATCTTGTTACTGCTGACGTTCATTTAGTAGATGCCTCTTTTTGCGCGCGGTGGGGGCCTCTGCGACGCCGGAAGCGGCCCACGTTGGAACCCCGAACCAACCCGCACCTGTGCATTTGATGCAAATCTGCACGCCTCTTTTTCTTGGCGTTGCGCTGGTTGGTGCCCACCCCGCGGTGGGCCAGAGGTTGCGGCGGCGGCGAAGGTTTTGCTGAGGCTGCTCATTAAAGCGCGCCTCTTTAAAAGAGAGCAAGAGCGAGCCGGGCCAAGCCTCCGCCTCCCCTCTGCACCCCAATCCTGGACGCCCGTCCTTAGACAGCTCCCCCGGGGTAGACAGGCAGAGAGTGGCTTAGCTGCTGCGAAGCGCTCCTCGGCAAGCGGCCCGCTGTCTCCGGATAGGAGCGCGCGCGCCTCTCTCTCCGTCTCGGCCTGCGAGCGCGCGGCGCCTCCCTTCTTTGCGGAGGGGGCGGCCCTCGCGGCGGGAGGAGGCTGCGCGCTGCTGCCGGAGCGAGGCGGGGGTGGGCCGAGGGAGGAGGAGGAGGAGCGGCAGCGGGGGAGCGAGCGAGCGAGGCGATCTGGTCGCGCGGCTCCTGCAGCGACCTGCCTGCGCCGGCGGCGGCGGTTGCAGCGGCATCCCCCTCCGGGCAGCGCCGGCAACGTCTGCTCCGCGCTCTCCGGCGGCGGCGACGGCGGCGGCTCGGCCTCCCGCTCCTCGATGTGCCTAAGCAGGAGGTGGCGGAGGAGGCAGCAGCAGCAACGGCGGCGGGGCTTGCACTCGCCCCACGGGGACTCGCCGCTTGCGCGCTCCGGGCAACCCTGAGCCCAAGCCTGCTGCCTCTCTCTTGCCTGCCACTCCGGCTCCTGCATCTTTTATCTGCGGCGGCGGCGGCGGCTCGCGCTTCCCTCCCCTCGCCCCCATCTCCCCACCCCCTTTCTAATTTCCCCTCAACACCCCCCCCCAATACCTTTTCTTCTCTCTCTCCCGCCCTCCTCTCTGTATCCCCAAACCGGGCTGCAAGCGCGAAGTGTCTTCATGAACCCCAAGGATGTCCGGGAAGCATTATAAGGGCCCTGAAGTCAGTTGTTGCATCAAATATTTCATATTCGGCTTCAATGTCATTTTCTGGGTAAGTGGAGTGGTTCGTTTTATGGGCCAAAGCTGTGTAGGGCTCGTGTGCATTTTCTAGCTGGGCGAGGATTTACCCTCCCCACCCCTTTCCAGAGAAATTGGAGGTGTGTGTGTGTGTGTGTGTGTGTGTGTGAGAGAGAGAGAGAGAGAGAGTGTGTGTGTGAGAGAGAGAGAGTGAAATAAGCCCAGCAGAAAATAAACACAAGGCACTTAAGCGTGAATGGGGTTTTTCATGAAGTAAATAACCTCGCAGGATACGTGTGTGTGTGTGTGTGTGTGTGTGTGTCTTCGTGTTGATGTTTTTTAGTGGGGTGATCTTTACAGGGGAACCCCCCCTTTCCTACATTTTGGGCAGTATTTGACTTTTTCTGGCCATAGTCTTTCATGTTCCGTGGATAATAAAGGAACGGCTTGGTTTTTCCACCATCCCTACAGTAGATCCCCTTGCAAGGTGTGATTCTGTTTCTCCGCCGCCGCCCCCCCCCATTTGCCCCTATTGTTGTGGTTTAAAAGGGACTGATAAGACTTCCATGGACTAGAGAAGGCATAATGCCGTGTTCCAAGTGTTCCTAGAAGGCTAAAGAGCTGTGTTGTTGGGAGAGGAGGGTTACACAACGACTGTAGGTAAGAAATGGGTCCGTTATGGTGGGCTCCTGTTAATGCAGCAGAAACAAGAGTGTACAATACTTTGCCGCTGCAAAATAGATCCCCTTTTTAATTAAAAGAAAAAAGAATATAGATTGGGATTAGGATAAGCATTTGCTCGAAATTCTGCATGCATACAGATCACCTACTGAGTCACCCCCCCCCAACATTTTTAATTGTTTTGTTGCCCCTGCTATGGTGGGATTGGAACTGTATGTTGGAATATTACATCACTATGCTCTTTCCACTGCTTCATCCCAATTTGCTGTAGCTTTGAATTCTCTTCTCCTTTGATAAAAAGCATTTTGCTGTCTCTGTGTATGTATGTGTTTAAACACACACACACACACACCACAATGCCATATGAGGTTTTACATTTTTGAATTATTGTTACATAATGTGAACCTTTGGGGATGTAGCAGGCTGTGTTCGTATGGATATTTCAGAAATGGGGATATTGACTGGGATAATGGATTCTGGAAACAATTGAATAAATAGCATTTGGTGTTCATTGCAGCGAAGTTGGGTCAATAGGAGAGCTCTCATGAACTAACCCTACTTGTGAGCAGGACATTACATAAAGGAAATTGATTCCCTGTTAATGGAGAGGGTGTGTGCGCATACACACAACACAGAGTGCAAGAGGAGCTCTGGATTTCAAGTTGAGAGACTGCAGAAGTAGGCTTGGCTGTAAGTCTGTGGCTAGTTTATATGGAAATACATTAAAAGCAATTCTGATCTGTTATTCCATATGGAAAGGAAGGAAGTGTCACCCATCCTCCTCCTGCTTTCCTTGTTGCCAGGATAGAGCTTTGATTATTTCTGGCACTTGGGTTCAAAAGTTAATGGAGATGCGGCCAAAGGCCTGGAACCGAAACCAGGTGTTAATGTTGCTGTTGAACCTGCCAGTGGAGGAGGCTGCTTTGTACATATGGCGAATGGGCCCTGGTCCATGAACGCTTTCGCTGTGATAAATATGTGAACCTTCAGTATCACAAGACTCTTGGTTGTATCTTGCTGCTAAGAAAGGCCCGTGTAAGGACATAGTTGTAGTGTTGCATTCTTACTAGCAAACTAGAAAATCCAGACTTGGATAAAGTGCTATGCAGGGGCTGTGCAGTTTCTGGTGTGGCAGAAGGACCTGGGTAGTTCTGTTATGATCATAGTGGGTTCATCAAATCGCTTGCATATGCCTTAAGAGATCTTTTAGTTGCTGCCTAGAACAACAATAGCTATGCTATTGACATTAAATTAAAATAGTGCTGCAATTTTGGCATTAGGAGTAAGAGGAAGATACGTATCTGAAGATGTTCTGATGTTCTAGATTGAAAACTGACTTTTAAAAGCTGATGCATATGACTCTCTCTACTCAAGGTTTCCTTTTCTGTTTTTTCACCTCTTGCTAGAGAAGGCAGGTAAAAATAAAACTAGTCTTCTGCCTCACCTTTTAGATACCCCCCCTCTTGTTCTGCCATGGAGTGCCAAAGCTCTATTGTTCCCTGCTTCTTCCTAATGTCATATTTGAATCCCATCTGTGCTGCTACAAATCTGGTGCAGTGTTTTTTTTTGCAGTGACTGTTCAGCTGTCCATAGTATTGGTTCTCGAAATGGGGAGGGGGAGGGGGTGGGCACTGTGATGAATTCAGATGTTCCCCAGCTGGCAAAGAAGGCACAATAGAATGAATCATGCAGCCTTCTTGGAAAGAGCATATTACAGGTTCTAGACTGTATGCTTATGAGAGTTAGGATCAGTACTGAAATGCACAGTTTGGCATGCTGACAAAAAAAGAAGTTCCTCTCTAATTCATTATGAGCCTGTACTATAACTTTAGTGGTTCCCTGGCTCTAGTCTTATAAATGCTTGTATTCCAAGGAGAGTTGTGCAAAAGATGCTTCTTATGCTTGACTCACCTGTACAGTTATCACAGGTAGCAGAGTTGTTGAATTTCAACCTTTCTCCTATTAAGAGGTTGGAGATGTGTTAATGGGTGTTGGAATGACTTACTGTGACGCACTGAATGGTTTTCTAAATGTAGCAGGAATGAATGGAGTGGTGGTGTAATTATTTGCAGACTTCGAACAGGAGTTTTGAAATCCTCATGAATCCAGTTTTCAGTACCATTAGCCTGACTTTAAATTGCTTCTCCATTTTAGCTTTAGGCCTTGAGTACTAGGATGTTTTCAGACTAAATGCATTCTGTAGGGGGCTGGTTGTTGGCTAAAGCGACTTTCTATCTCCCAGACTCTTATACTTGACGAATATGTTGAATGAACATGGGCTGAAGGTGTCATACATCATACAGTAGTGAGTGCCTGATCTGCTATGAGGTTACTTTGAGCACGTATCTTCAACCTTTTCAGACTCAGGGATCCACTTTTAACCCAAATATGCACCTGGTGACCCATTTCTTAATCATTTACCATATATATGCATGGTGGTAGTGCTCCTGTTGTGACCCACCTTGGATCAGGCTGTGATCCATTAGTGGGTCCCAACCCACCAGGTTAAAGATTAGTGACTTAGAGGCCAGAATGCCACTTTGGTTTAGCTGCCATCATGACGACACAGAAGCAGGACAGTTTCAGGCTAGGTAGGTTTATTTTAGAACTGAAGTTGCTGAACACCTTTAGTAAGCATTGCCTACACACTGTGGTTTTCTTAATTGCACCGTGTTTCTGCAAATTGGCTGATTAGTTTGGGCGCCTTTTGATGAAGAGCCAATTGGCTACCAGGTGGATCTTGTTGCTTAGTTTGGGGAGGTGGCCACGGGAGAGGATGAAGATAAGGTTGAAAAAATGTTTGAAGTGTGAAGTACCTTCCAAAATGCTAGGCTTACATCTGCTTCCAATTCATGTTCAATGAATGTTCACTGTGAACATTTTAATAGAATGACCAGACCTTTGGCTGAAGACTGCTTCATACTTTACATTAAAGCTTGTTTTATGAGTATTTTCTTCTTCAAAACTAGCATGTGAGTGAGCTGGTCACTCATGGATCCAACTCGCTGAGGTGTGAGTTGGCTCCTTGCATATTGCATTGTGTCCACGAAAATGGCATGGCATATCTTTACATGCATGCATATCTTTGTATCCGTAGCAGCATGAGCCAAATTTGAACAAGTACATAATTTAACTCAAAACTATGTTTTTGTGGCATGTACATTTTAGTTTAAAGCCAGTGTGAGCAAGTTCTCCTGAAGTTTTTGGAGATCTGATTCATGGACCACATTAATCTGTTGATATGATTATTCTCTGTTGTGTGGAAGGTATTTATGAATTTGGAGTGTGGTTGTGCACTTCCTGGACCTTGGTTCAGAAATGACTGTCTGGCAAGCTGGTCCTGAACAGGCCATGCCACTAATTTTACATAGAGGAGCAATAATTGGCTTCACACAGGGCACAGCTCTACTTGGGAGACATCAGAAGTGCACAAAGATTAACATGTAACTGTAAACCCGCTGCCTTGTACAGTTCCCAGTGTCATTTAAAAACCAGATTCCTGCACACTCAGAAATGTGCGGGTAATTCAGCTGTGGGTGAAAATTACAGGGAGAGACTTAAAGGTGACGTTAGTGGTATGTGTGAAAACTGAGCCTGCATTGTTTAGATGATTGCATTTATAATGTATACAGTAGTTTTGATTTAAAAGAGATTATGTGGGATGGGTCTAGGCTTGTGTTCAGCGAAGGTCTGCTTGTGCTGGAGGAAAGAGCGAAAGGTGATTTTTTTTTTTACTGATAGCTTCTTTACTTCTTCTTTGCCTCTTAATGTAGAGAGGGTCTTCTTGGTAGCTGCTCTTAGATTGTGGAACTCCCTTACACAAAAGGTGTGGCTGTGCCTCTCTCTGCTTTCAAATCACCAACAGGCAAATGCTTTTTTTGTTTAAACAGGTATTTGGCCACTAGCTGGCTGTTGCAGCAAGGTCTTTTGAGCATGGGTGTCGCCTTTTTGTGTGCTTAAGTGTTTCAGTGCTGTTTTTTTAATAGGCTTTCTTAGTTCGTTGTTTTGTCAAAGCTATATTTATTGTGTGTTTTTAGTTTAATTTGTTTGAATTTATGATGTGTGTCGCCTTGGGCCAGGCACTGGGAGAAAGGCATGATAACAATATCTATGGTTTTTGTTTGTTATTGTGTTTGTATTTTTATATTGTAAACCACCCTCTGATCTCCGGAGGAGAGGCAGTATAGAACATTAATAAATAATAACAATATGAATTAACATTTAAAAATACATTTATTTGTTTTTTACGTCTCCAATCCAGACACCGACCAGACCTGGTGTGCTTTCAGACCATACCTTCTATAGACTGTTCTGGAGAATTGGGGGACCCTCAGGAAGGACATGAGAGTGGGG